AATATATGATATCGTGTAAATCACAATAATAGTATTATAGAACTTCGGTATTAAGTGAAAAAACAGACATCTGAGAACGGTTATTCGCGAACGATCTATATAATATTAGGTAATCGACACGTTCACATATTTTTACAAAATATTATTATTAGTTTCGTTATAATAATATAATAAATAATAATAATAATTTGGCAGAATATATGGAACAACTTTGAAATAAACGATCATATTGACAGCAATGAGATCAATTAGGGACAGAACAAAGAAAAAAGTAACAACATGGTTTAATGAGAAGTGTAAAACAGAAATAGAAAATAGAAATAAAGCAAAAATGGGAGGTAATCAAAGACAATAGCAACGAGAAAATGAACACGTTAGTCCAAAACAAAAAGAGGTTAAAAGAACGATCAGAAAAGAAAAAAAGAATATAGGAAGAAGAAAAATTAGAAAAACAGAAGAGGAATATATAAATTCAAGAAATTTCTTCCGAAAAACCAACGAGCTAATAAGAATCTATAAGCCAAAAACAACCATTATGAAAGACAAGAATGGAACACTAATAATCAAGGAAACAGAAATAGCAAAGGAATTTAAAACAGTGTTCCAAAAACTTGTTGAATAGGACTATAATTGATGTATTCTAAATAAACACCGATTATATATCGATAGAACTAGAAGATAAAAAACGTAGTTTAGAGAAAATCGAAGTTGCCATTAAAATGCTCAAAAATGATATAGCTGCAGGAAACGATGAAATAGCATAGGAATTATTAAAATATAGAGGAGATAACTTAAAAATAGAGATATGGAACGTGATAAAAGAAGTATGGATGATTGAAAGGATGCCTGAAGATTGGAATACATAAATTATATGCTTGGTTTATAAAAAAGAAGATGCAATTAACTTTAGTAATTATAGGGGAATATCTTTGCTATGCACTACCTAAAGAATTCTCTTTAATATTATTCTTAACACCTATGACTATATGAAGTAGATATTAAAGGAAAATATCAAAGTGGCTTCTTAGTGGGAAGATCGACAATTGATCATAAATTCACGTTTAAGCAATTGATAGAGAAATGCTATGGATTCAATAAGAAATTGTATTTACTGTTTATGGATTTTAGAAAAGTATATGATTCGGTTAAAAGAAAAATATTATGGAAACATTTAGAACTATTTGGTATATATCAGTCAAATTAAGAGCGATAATCCGAATATGTATAGAAACAGCAAGATACAAAGTAAGATTTAGACAAACACACTCTGAAGAATTTAAAACCACAGTTGGACTAAAGCAGGGTGATGCACTCTTTCATATTCATATACTCTTTAACATTGCACTGGAGGTTGTAGCTCGAAACGTACAAAATAAATAAAAAGAAATTTATGTCGAAAAATCTGTATCAATATTAGCGAATGTTGATGATATCGTAATATTTGGAGAAGCTGAAGACGATATAGAACTAGCAACAGAAGAATTAATGTTCCGAAACATTAGAATTTGAAATAAATGAAAACAAAACCAAGTATGTGTGTATAACAAGAAAACAACCACTAATACATCAGATAAGGAATATACAAATTAGAAAATATACATTTGAAAAAATATATGGTTTTAAATATCTTGATACAGAAATAAATAGTTGAAACAACAACTATGAAGAGATTAAGAAATGTGTTCTAACAGGAAACAGATGTATATATGCTCTATCTAAGTGCCTACGCTCAAAGAAATCGAAAATGAGACTAAACAAAGTAATAGAAAGACATATCATAACGTATGCATGTAAGACATGGCCGACAACGTTAGAAGATGAGAAAAAATTGGCTATAGTAGAAAGAAAGTTTCTAAGGAAGATATTTGGACCAAAAATAAATAATGTTACACAAAGGTATAAAATAAAGTCAAATGAAGAAGTATACAATACCTCTGGAGAACCAAATATAATTGGGGTAATTAAAGCCAAAAGACTAAACTGGCTAGGTCACATAATAAGGTTCAACATGATTGTAAAGGAGGTCCTAAATTGGAAGCCACGAAGAAAGAGGCCATTAGGCAGACCTAAACAACGATGGTTTGATAAAGTCTTAAAGGATCTAACAACGCTAGGAGTTGAAAACTATAGGGAGGTAGCAATGGATGAAGAGAGATGGAAAGAAGTGTGTGTGGTAGCAATGGGTCTTAACGGGGTCTTTAAAGCTGATAAAAAAAAAAAAAAAAAATAAAATAATAATAATAATAATAATATGTGATAGTTTTGATTTATGTGTGGAAAAGCTCAGCAGACAGTTTTAAATTACGTGTACACATGCACATTTGTAGTAGTCTTTTATTTTCTCAGAATGTGTAGTAAATAATAATAAAAAAATAAAAATAATATCTGTAATGGTAATAATTATTTGACCGCTGGTGCACTCATATTTTCGTATCATATATTTGTGTAACATTTACTTGTAATTTAAAAATATGAAATATAAATAATATTAACATTAAAATTTGATAACGATGTAATGGATAATAAAAATCGTTTTTAAGATTCAATATAAATACATACTGTGTGTATATCGTATTTATTGAAGTATGATATCTATTAATTATTATGTTGTTATTACTTATTTGTTACATTAAAACATGATGAAAAAAATTAATAATGATATGTATTCTTCACTATAATATTCAAATTAAGCTAAAAAAAAAAAAAAAAATGATTAGCCTTATATTTAACATAGCTCGGATCTTTGTAAGCCACATGTTTCAGTGTAGAGACATATGTAAAAATGTAGAACCCCCTCCTCTTCTTTACATCGCTTTTCGCTTTGTCAAATTTTACTTAATTATAGTTTAGTGATAATTATTAGTAATGAACTATATTTTTACATATTTTAAAGCACAAATATGTTAGCTCTATATTGTGATACAATTGACGAGCGGAACTACATTATGAGATTGAAAACTTTTAAAAGCTGTCATTTCACAATTTTTGCACCTCGAATGTTGGAGCGGTGGATGTTTCTTGTACTATGAACTTAATCTTGATGTGACTTTTTTCACAGAACCTCCAACAATTACATTTTTATTAATAGTAGTGTCTAGTGACAAGTTAAATATATAAAATATTATATCATGTGTTTTCACTTATTAAAAAACACATTTTTACTGTGAGTTGGACGTTTTGTTTCAAGATTGGAAAGATTTTCAAGTAAGACATTTAAAGTTTACGTGGATTTATAAATACCTTGTCGTTTATAATTCGCTCGTAATTCGCAACTGTTTATGAACATTAGGTACTCGTTATTAAGAATGGATGGTGATAAATTAATTGTCTAAAAATCAGCGTTGCGTATCATTGTTAATGTACATAAAAATTCTTCCTCGAGGACTTAAAAGAAAATAAAATTAAAATACAACTTAGAAGAAAGATAAACACAGTTATCATCATTTTCTGCGTTCCAAGATTAATTAAATTAAAAGGTATACATTTTGACATATGAAAAATAAATTAAGGCTAACTCTGTCCTCAAACTTTGGCTTATAGCTTAACACGTAAAAACATTGGTTATGTTAAAAAAAAAAGTGTTATTGCGCTGATATTAAACTTAATAATAAAAATACAAATAATATTATAATCTATTTAATAAAGTAATTATTATTTTGATAAAAAAATGATGAGGTTATTTTGAAGTGTATAAAATAAATCTAAATAAAAATATTATTTCATGGAAAGTCGGGTTAAAAGTAATTTATAGTTCATGTATAATATAGTTTAATCAAGCACGTTTTTTGTTTGAAAAAAAATAAATAGATCTTTGTCAAAAATATATATTATAACGAACTCATATTAATTTTAGCATAGTTACCTCATCCAGGCATGGGTAACATATTCCAGAGTTCTCAAATGTTGTGTGCTCCAATAAATCGTTGTAATGATATGGTTAGATCTTAATGAAACTCATCGATCAATGACTAACCGATTACGATCATTGATACGTTGATTATAAAATACTAGAAAATACTATACACACTATCACATTTCAAAAACAATTATAATTTTTCACAGAATATTTCCTCTTCCCATATATTCACTTTAATATAGATTGATTCATTTTTATACTGATTTTACATATATGTATTTATTTAAATTGATAAAATTAAATGATAAACTGTACCATAGTTATAAATAGAAATTATTCAAAATGTTATCAAAAACGATTATTCATCTATGTTTTAAAAGAATTTTAGGCTGATAAAATGTAATATGTAGTTTAAATATTATGATTCGATAATCTTTTACTCAAGTTAATTTAAAATTGAAACAAAATAAATGAGCATAGCTGATAATAATTAATAATATTATATCGTAATCTAAAAGAATTTAAAAAAATGCATTAATTCATTATTTTATGTATGATTTAAAAATAAGATTAAAGTAGAACTTTAAGATTTTCCTAAGTTTATTATGATAGTATGTACATAAATTAAATAAATATAACCGAAACCCATATTTATTCTATGACAAAATTCTTAAAATCTAATCAGATAAAGGAAGACATTTTTATGATTTTTATGATTTTTTTTTTTTTTTTTTGTAAACTATAGCTGTGTCCCATGATTTATTTTCAATGAGCGTACTTACACTTGTTTATTCAATTAAACTAAACTTTAAGAAAATTACATTAATTTTCAACATTAACACTAATATTATGAAGTATGTATTAGTATCCTATTTTACTTACTGTGTTAAAAAATACAGATTGCAAGTTTTCATTTCAATAAAATAAAACCATTATTGTACGAAAGCTGTTCAAGTTAGAACTAAAAATATGTTATCTAATTTAACATATGCTATACATACACACACAAAACATGCACCATCGTGATTCGTTCGGCGATGATCGGCACAGGCGACGATGAGGGAGGCCGTAAGCGCCACTCACGAACACGTTGGGCGCGCGTTTAGACGCCACCGTTGTCGCTGTCGTTTACAGTCCGCCGATGCAAACGGAACTTTGACTACAATCTCTGAATGATAAATCGGATCGTATCGTGAGATCCAAAGCCGTAATATTAATGTAGTGATTGTTGGTTATCATTGTTATTATTTAATTAAACGGAATCATTATATATTATTATATTTCGACGGATTTGGTGTCCGAAGTGAAGCAAACGGATATCTACTGTTACTGCGGCCGGTAGTGAGGTATGTGTATGTGTATCTAATCCCCGATATACCTAAAAATACTTATTAACTATCGTTATTTTTATTGTTTTATCTTGTTCTTCTTTGTTATGCACGATATCGAATAGAAAAAAAATTATTTTATTCGATTTACAAACGATATATCAATATTATATCGTATAGAAAAAAGAATTAAAAAGTATTAAATTGGGCATTTAATAAACTTAAAATATATTCATCGTTTTAATAATAACTATACTATATTGAGGAGGGTGAATGAATTAAATACGTTGTGAGAGTTTAGAATGTCAAAGTTTAACGTAAATGTCAGACGAGAAATGAAAGAATATAAGTTATTTTTGTTTTTGTAATAATATCTTTATTTAGAAGTATTTTCTTCGAATCGTTTGTTTTTATCGGACATAAAATTATGTATATATAATATATATATATATGTGAATGTATAGATAAATATAATTTATTAATTATTGTGTTATGTACTAGTGGCCATAGAAAATTTTCTGCCGACATCCAGGTTGAGAATCGTTATTGTAACGTTTATTACATTCTATGTATAGACATTATAAATTAATATACACTGTTAAATTGAAAAATAAGAAAATAAACACTTGACACTTTTTGACTGCGATCAAATTATTATTTATTATTAAAATATGACACACGGCAGTCAGCTCGATAATCATCGATACAAGTGAACTCAAATACACGATTGTCATCAGCCATCTTGCTACAATAATGTATTTTTTATATAAATAACTATTCTAAATTTAAAATTAAACGTGTTTTTTCGTTGATATAACCTTTAAACGAGTGCTCAAACTTTTATACTTATCCAATGGAATAGAAACCTTTCCTTAGATAACTTATGTTGTTCTTTCGACCATGTTACTTATTTAGGCTATATTATAATGAGTTTTTAATAGAACACAACACAAAAAATTCATAACGTTTTTGATTTTTGGTTATTCGAATAATTTCAAAGTTAGACAGCTATTTTTTTTGTAATAAAAATATCGAAACCGGGTTGCATTTGACGGTGGCTATGTTAACATATACGCTATACGTGTTTAACACTTTATATGTTTTTTTTATATTGTGGCTGGTTGCATTTTATTACTTTCTGTTGCATACGTGTATAGAGATAACATAAAAAAAAAAAAAAAAAATGTTTTAGATAAAACGCAAATAATAGTGATTTTTTTATTTAAGAATTTATGTGAAATTTTTATCTTATAAATATTTAATTAACCACGGTTTTTTGAAAATACTCAAGTTTTATGTATATTATGTTGGTGAGCAATAACTGAAGTTAAAAAGAAGCACTTGTGGTTGGTATTAAGAAAACAATATTAAAACGTTAAATCATTTTGAATGATGAAAATATGATTATACTCACTAACCATAGAATATTGTCTAAGATGAATGTGTTTTACAAAAAAAATCATCATTAATTATTTTGAATTTCAACTTAAAATTTGTCTAAAACATCAAACTTTCATTCTATTAAATAATATCATATAAATTTAATCTTTGTGAGTTTATAGTTATTGAACTATTTATTAATTTCAAATTATTATGAAAATAAAAGCAGTCTTTATTAGATTTTGTTTTATATTTTGGCTGGTTTGAAAAATATAATTACTCAAGTGATATAGATACAATTAGTATTTCATTATGATACGGTAGTATGAACACTATGAACAATATCTTTGTTTATCTTTGATATATTAATTATATTAGAATATTTGTGGATAATTTCTAGATTTAAATAATAAATAATGTATAATTATTATTTATTGTTAGGTACCTAATTCATAAAGCTATATATTATACATATATATATAAATTATAATACAAATAAAAATAATATAATCGCAGCCAAATAAAAGTAATTGCCCTTAGTCAATTTAAAAAGAAATGTTCTATTGTGATTTATTGGCATGGAAAAAAAAAATATAATATTAAAATGTATCAATTAAATTATTATTTTTGGTGCAGTGAAGCACAAGATATTTTGAAGTCCTTAAGATACTGTTATCTTACCACTCTTTTTAATCAATCATTTTTTATGATCCTTCTAAGTATATTATCTTAATAGTATAAATTATATACAAATAAAAGTTCCATCAAAAATTAAATATTTATTTTGTAATTTATGTTAGTATTATTTGTTACATTGAACTTGTTTTTTCTTTTATGCTAATAAAAAAACCAAATAATGATTATTAATAATTATAAATCTCATATCAAATATTTGTATGCATATTAGACATAATTATTATCAAAAACATTGTAAAGCCTACAACTTTTTGTGTCAAATTATTTTAAACTTATGATATATAATAATATGTCTGTAACCAATAACTAATTGAATAACAATTATTATTATTGTACGTTGTTTTAATATTAAATGTTAAATAATCTAAATAGGTAAAATGAGATCTATAACATAAATAATAATAACAAATTTGTTTGTAATTTTGTAAAATGATTTTAGTACAATATTCGAGTAATATTTTACATTGAATAAAACGTTATATTAACATTATGAAGTTTAATAAATTTCATTAACAATATATTATAGCTATTTTGTATTGATGTTAATATATTTTTTTCCTTTTTCGAAAATTAACTAAAATTTATAAATGCAATGGTCAAAATTTTTGGTTCCTGAGAAAGTGTTATACAATTTTTTTTAAAAACTATTATTGAACTAATTTACGAATTATGTGACTTTGAGAGTAATTTTATCGTTTCAGAATTTATTCCTAAGAAAATTATATGCATTTAATGTCTTATTCAATCAACGTGACATATGTCGTGTATGTTACTATTAAAGAATTAATGTATAAAAACCTTATAACGTATGTATATAATTTTTTGTAAATTCATAACTAATGGGTTTTGGTATTTAAATCCCATTCATCGCGCAATGTAATATTTTCTAATGTTCAGTTACGGAATAATTTATGATATGTAGACAAAATATTATAAGCTTATACTTAAAGTTTTTCAAGTAAAAGTTTATTTTGAAAAATACATATTTGACACAATATTATGTACCATTTTAGACGTTGGTCTACAATACAATCAAACTAGATTTCTCTATGCATGCGCTTACATTTCTTATATATATATATATTAAACAAATAATCTGTCTTCCGTGAGTGCTCTTTTTTATGTTCATACGTATATCACGCACACGTGTACAATGCGCTTTCGACGGACTGCAAAAAATAATTTTCTCCCGTCATATTTCGATAAAATGAAGCGGTTTTATTTATACAATACGTCTTCAACGGATCATCGCGCTGTAGGTATTTTGCTGACAGTATATCTACGGCTGTGGTTCTATGTCACAAAATAAAAACTACCCAAACGCACTAACCACATTTGTAATCGGATTCCATTAGTGGTTTGGTTAAAAGGCCAGGAAAATAAAATATACGTTCAGAAAATATATTTAATGATAACGTTCTTCTTAAAATAATTAAATTTTAAATATATAAATAAAATCTTTTTCCTATAAATGAATAATTATAGAGATAGATGCATTCAATTACGCAAATAAAATATTGTAGGTTAGTACTTAAGTGTTTTTTATTTTTAATACCTAGGAAAGAGAGGGTATACAGAAAATTATTTAATAAATTCACTAGATTTTACTGTAACTTATAATAGTTTTGTTAAATAGCAAATAATAGTAACAAAAGTTTTTATTATATAGTCGATTGCAAAATAGAAACAATGATATATTATGTGATCATGATTAAATGTGAATTACACTGTAGAATGTTTAATACATAATATATAATAATTATATTTATTGAAATGAATAGACAATGAATTATTATATCTTCATTAATTTATACACAAAATTGTGATTACATTACATTGTGATTAAGTTGAAATTTTAGTTTCAAATTATTTGTTTATATAGCAAGAATACAGGATTGATATGATAATTAACAAAAAAAAGTAAATAATAAAAAACTATAAATTTTACTTTGAAATTATGTTTATTAATATATATATTTGTATTATTGAAAGTAATTTATTGGATTGTTTATTTATGTGTATATATTATACATTATATATGTTATTTTTATTTTAGATGTAATTTAAAATGACATTTCCATCAATATTAATACAATGCAATATACAATGTACCTACAACTGATATTTAGAATAACGAAAATCGTTTTGGAGTTTTATTAGTTTTTAGCTGAAATTCTTTCTGATTTGTTCATGATTTCTAAATGGTAGAAGAATATTTTAAAATGCATATGAGGTAGCTACTGTTTTTACATATTGCATACGACTTAAAGTTGTTGACACTTATTTATGCATTTCGGTAAAATAAACTTAAAAAGCAAATAATGGATTTTTATATCAAACAAACTATTGATTAATACGATGTATATACATTTATATAATATATATCCAATAAATAATGATAGTTGTTCAAATACAAAATAAACATCTGTCCATATACTAAACTAATACGATGAAATAGAAAAATCGTAATATCCAACGTAAATAATGGACAAATTTACTTTGATAATGTTAAACGACACTGTATTTTACGATTTATATTGGGAGGTCACCGCCACACTTGCATATGTCGCTCTGTATTATAAATGAACAACTTAACAATTTTTATATTCATAATAATCTATCGTATTCTTTTTTTTATAAAACATGGATGAATAAATCTACCAACAATTTAAAAGTAAAATTATTATATAGGATTTTCTGGGCTTTTATTTATATTTTAATTTTAAAACACACTATGATATTTTAAAATATATAACAAAATTATGGTTTTGAATAATATGCTCATGACTTGCTTCGTGATTAAAATATTGATAAAAACCTTTGATTTATTCCCAGATATAAATTTTATCTTTAAATTTATAATAGGTCAATTCACTTTAATTTCAAAAATAATAGAATAAAATAAATTATTGTGAACGTAAAATTTGATAGGTTGCACGTTT